GCTGCAGTAATGCCAGGGTATAATAGTGAATAATGACAGCTCTGTCAAGTCGTAATCATCCGCAAACCTGTCAAGAACTTATAATATAATCGAGACAGGTAAGAGGGAATGTGTTTCCGGCCTGGTAAGGACGGGACGGGGGATGATATATTCTTGTCCTCTCTCCACAGTCCGCAATCCCGCAGTTCCGAGCTTCTGTAGGGGAGCGTGATGTCTATATGATCGTTGGTTGCTTTATATTATTTTGTTTTTAACGAATTACCATTTTTTACTTTCGAATACCTAAAGATGATTAACATACATCGTACCTAAAAAATGGCATAAAAATCTCTAATGCTACCCGTAGATCAGAAATTATGAGTCATGAGAAAGATATGTTGGAAAAAAATAAAATAAGCTGGTAGCGCAAGTTTCTCTTGAAACTTCCCACGACAAACGATGACGCAAGTTAGTTACTCGACCGCTCGGACAAAAGGCTACGTCAGCGTAGTTCTTTTCCGTATCAAGTGTACTGTCAAACATGAACATTTGTATCGTAAAATCGTGTTGGGTTTTGAATGACGGACCAATAAAAAAAGGAACGTGGTAGATTCGCGAGGAGTACGATGCACCGTACGGATAAGGAGCGACCCTCCCTCTGATGCAAAACAGACGATATTGACAGCTCTCGCGATTCGGGATAACCTCTCACGGCCCGGTCGACGATCAGTGACAACCTGCGCTGCCACGTCCTTACACGTTCATCAAAATCAGTGATTAGAGAGAATGGCGTGTCTTTTGTTAAATCAAGAGAATGTGCACATCAAAATACCCTCGGCGGATACTGTTGACGGTGTCACGTATTATTGCATCGAGGTTAGCGTTGCTTCGATCAAGTGGACCGTGAAGCACAGGTGAGCTCGCTGATTATCTCGCGTTATTGTGACGTGTTACACTTTTCATCTATTTTTGATCTTTTTTTTAATTCTAATCAAACACACCGGCAAAATTGAGAATGAAATCCGTGGCAAGTTCTAATCGGTTCTCTACTCGTTGCCCAATCGTTTTGCGTACTCTATTTGCAACTAAGAAAATGAGTTGTTAATCTTATTAAATTCTAAATTTAATCCGTAAGTGTGATGTAATGAAAAACGCATTTTTTTTTATTTACAGTATCTTTACTTCGCACCTTTATCAACCCCGAATTATCATGGCAAAGTGATAAATATATTGATTCCATACGAAATTCACGATATTTTACTTCATCATAAAAACATTGCTGTCGATGATAAAGTTTTAATAAGTGATATGTGATACTTTTACGATCATGCCTCTCTTTACGTGTAACCCAACATTCTAGAATCGTACTCTGTATTAATTCGATACGGATTATATTCGTGATCAGATGATGAAATATGATACATTTAATTTTTATTCCTCTGTTATAGGTACAATGATTTCGCGGAACTTCACGATAAACTCGTTTCGGAGAATTATGTTAAAAAAGATATATTGCCGCCAAAAAAGTTGATCGGTAACAAATGCGAAGCATTCGTGGAAAAGAGGAGGTTGAGCCTGGAAGTCTACTTAAACGAGGTGTATAGTTACTTGAAAAAAGCGATGCCTAGAGAACTCGCTGTATTCTTGGACATGCACATATACGATATATTTTTCCTACTACAGAGCATGGCTTTGGAATTTTTTACCGAAGGTCACAGCTTGTTACAGAAGTCCAAGAGTTACAAATTTAATCCTGTGCAGGTCATTATTTAATTTGTGCATTGATGAATTGTTCCGCTGTTTATTTTTATTAAGTATATAAATTTTGTGATTAATCATTACAGTTATACGCGATCAGCGAGAGATTAAAGCAGCCTTGCCCACCCCTGGAAGTCGTTGACAAGAAGTACGATTTCAGTCACGTTTTGGATTTCAATTCTCACCTGACAGAACTCGTAATTGAAGGAAGTTCCGAACCCTACAGAACCAGCAACATTTATACGTCCACGCTGTCGATCGATTTATCCAGTTTTAAAAATATACAGAATTTAACAATCGATCAGTACCCGGTGGACAAGATATATCACATGGGCAATCTCCGAGACACTGTGAAGTATCTGAAGGTGAACAATACCAAGCTGAGAAACATCGTCGAACTAGCGATGTGCGAGGAGGTGCACAAGATTATCGAGAACGCGAATGACTCTCACGTTTGGCTAAAAGTGACCCATTTAGACCTGAGTGACAATCGGATAGAAACGATAGACGAAGCTATCAAGCTGCTACCGCACATTGAATGCTTAACTTTGAACAATAATCTACTTTCTGAGATTTCTAATGGCACTCTATTGCCAAGATTATCTCAATTATATCTGGCATCGAATAATTTCACGTCCCTGCCGGAGGATTTGCATACAAAGCTCGGTTACATCGTTTACATCGATCTTTCACAGAACAAATTGACCTCTTTGGCTAGCTTCTCGAAAATGTACTCGTTGGAGGGTCTGGACGTAAGTTGTAATCGTATCGAAAACATTGAGGAAGTGAAGAATATCGGTCACCTACCCTGTTTGGAGAACCTGAGACTCACAGGAAATCCCGTGTCGACGATTGTTGATTATAGAGTGAAAGTTTTAGAACCGTTCGGTAAACGGGCAGCGGATATTTGCTTGGACAACGAGAAACCGAATCAGAAGGAGCTAGACACAGTTTCCGTTCATCAAGCGTTGCGTATCGCACGGGAAGGAAAATCCCCAACGTTCAACACATCGGATGCTCCTCTGTTCTCCGCGGAAGTTCCGAGTGTATAGTAAATCATCGATTTATTTCGAACAATAGATTACTGTTACGAATGACCCGAATTTTTGTTCCGGAACAGATGAATATACATAGGACAAATTAATTCGTTTAGATTTTTACGAAATGGAAACGGGTAAGAGCTTTCGAACTACAATTGAATTATATTCCTATTTAAATTGGCGATCATTTAAGATCCGTTTGAGTCTCGCCCATAGCTTTTTTATACGATGTTTATTGTTGGTGCTTTCTTATCATTATTCGATATGACGACATCCTAACCAGTATGATATATACCAAAACAGTAAGATTAAGCGTTAAACATGTTCCCGTTCGATGTGATTTATGGTAATCCAAATATTAAACCAAAATTTAGCACATAAAATGGGATAATTAAGATGAAAATGATAATCTATCCGAGGATAACGTGCCACCAGCGCCTGTATAAAGAAATACGAGATTTATGAGATTCTGCTGTGTACATAATTATTTTTAAATCGTACATCCACACGTTACCATCATATATTTTTTATACGAACTCGAAAAAAGCGAAGGAATGATCGGATTGATTATATATTTATTTGTAAAAACACCAGAGAATTATACCTCTGCTCTCTTTTGCGTTATATTAAAAAAATGATAAATAATCTTCGCTAAAACTCGATCTTTATACCATCGTGCGACGAATTTTGAATATTCATTTGACAATGTCTGATAAGATTGATTTACTTTTGGGAACCATTATTCCTAAGAACGATTATTTGTACGGAATTTATTTATTGTCACGTACAGTTAGATTATGTATGTATTTGTGAATACGGTACGATTGGAATTCGTTGTTTTTGATTGAAACGTGCAAGGAATGCGGGAATAAATGGACGTAAGAGATTTCGATTTCGATCGGACTGACAACGGCGCGGTAATCGCTGGGATTCAAATAGCGTTTGTTATCTGTTATATAAATTTTTAAAACCGATATTATGTTGAAAAGCATAACCACGTTCGATGTAACGATTTTGTAATGGTTTCATACAAACTCTACAAAACTATACATATTAATGATAGAATATTTTGTTAAATAAAGATTCCAAGATCAATAAACTGTGATAATCTGTGGGAGAATCTTTTGTTTTATATATGTATACACCCTCGTCCAAAAGTATTAGGACACTTACAGACTTAAAAGGAAGTCTGAAAAATCATTAAGAAACGATAGAAATGAAATGAGGTAGACTGTTCTTTTGGGCGGAGATGTATATATATTTAAATCAATTAAAAGAAATAATATATATTACGTGATTCACACGACTTCTGTTTAAAGATAGTTTTTATTTTAAACTTTCACATTGTTCGCATTACCTTTTTAAACATACGTATCTTGACAATAGTAAAATATTCATAAATAATAATTATTCGTTACAATGCTTAACATACTCTAAGCAACCTTGTGTTATAGTCTTTTAATGTAGTACACCTAAAAACTAACACATACATAAGTTCTCGTTTTATTTAAGAAGATCGCTTCCGACTTCGCGCATCAAATTTTATTTTCCTCTTCCTCCTGAATACCCCGTGGTGCACAAGTTCTTTGCTTCTGATTTATTTCAACCAAATCAAATTTTCATTTTTGTCAAAGGCAATGCGTGTTTTTTCTTTTTTTTAGAAAATAATTCGTTCGTGTTACTTCCAAAAAAAGTAATGTCGAAAAAAGCTGTTAGGTACCAAATAATAATAATTTATCAAACATCTATCGTTACAGCGTCCATGCGTCGATTTGCTTTAAACATTACCACCAATATTATATATAATATTTATATAATTTTTCACTCATTGGTCGTAATTCATCTATCATCACCTACCATCGGTCGACAACGATCGTAAAAACACACGTAAGTGTATATCAAAGCGGCAAAAAGCAGATCGAAAGAAGAAACACTGCGTATCAAACACCTATACAGTAATCTTGTTTTTGTTTATTACAAAATTAGGCGTTAGTTCTACAACCTCCAGACAAGCGGCTCGTCTTTTTTTCTTTCTCGTTATTTGATTATCGTTTCACAGATTGCACTTTGTTAACTTGTATTTGTAATAAACTTGATTTTGATAAACTGGTCGAAGAATTTGAACTTTCGTCGAAGGATACGTACAAAATTATAAACTATACATTGTTGGTAGACTTGTTCACAGTTCCTTTTTTTTGACAATATCATGTTTTTCTCTTCTTTTGAAAGGAAAGAATAATTTCTGTACTTTCTAACATCTTGTACATACCTTATGGAGGCTCGAGTTTCGCTCGAAAAACTATAAACTCCGAATTCCCGCGCGAGAACTCGCTCGTTGAATGCACTTCGTAAGCGTGTTTCGCTGCGAACTTCATTTTTACGTACTAGCCGTGAATTAAGATTTTCTTCAAGAGTTTGATACTCTTACTTCTTCTTAATCCAGACCTCATTTCCTCATTAGGATGTAAAAAAAAAACTGAGCGTAAATATTCAATTACTTCCTTAGAGAAAGCAATTACAAAAATAAAAATTTGTAAACTAATTGCGAAGGGACTGAGCCAGGAAAAAACGTAAGTTCACAGCGAAATAAGTTGGGAAGGAACGAAAGGTGAAAAGAACAGAAGAGGAAGGAAATGAAATTAGAGAGAATTGATGGAGGGGCAGGAAAGGAGCGATCTGACCTACGAAACACGAATTACGGGATTCCCTTCTCTTTATTAGGGTTTCGCATTAGATCGTGTATTCGTCGATTGATTTGTGCTTTACTGCTGCGCGATCGGGATCAGTTTTTCGCCAGTACCGATCGCCGGAAGCGGGGCTTCAACGGTGAGGACACCATCCTTGCTCAGCGAGGATTTGATGCTTTCCGGGTTGGTGCCCTTTGGCAACAGGAACTCCCGATTGTACTCCCGGTACACCGATTTGCTCTCCGTCTTCTCCTCATGTTTCGCGTGGACCTGAAAATGTAAACATTTTTCTTTGTTTAATCGGAAACATTAATTCAATAACTTAGTACTAGTTTGTTCAAAGACATAACTTTTTACCACTCGCAATTTGTATTTTAACATTTTTCTTCATCAATCGTTACATGATTATAATAATTCAACAGTAAAATTATTTTTATTCGAATGAAATTTACTTTATTACGTTATTTTATTATTACGAGAAAGTAGATCTATATTTTATGTATTCAATTTATAAAATTCTAAAATGCCCATGCCAAGACGAGTGCTATTCCAAACGACAAAGTGTTAAATTACGTTACTAATATTAGACCGCGCTTCGTGAACTACAAACGTCAACTTTGTGCGTACATATCTCTGGTCTGTTCATCACGTTCGATATAAAATATTCAAACGGATAAGAATAAGTAGGAAATATATTTTTGGCGAGAGTATAATATTAGATTATCCGGGTAAGATTCATTTTCTTGGGAAAATTTATCAACTTTCTCGAATGGATGCCAGTGTACACGAAACCGAGGCCAAGGGAATTCAGGTCGTCTGTTCGATTAAGTGTCCGTATTAATAAATCAGACGGACAGGCACATTTCTGTGATCACGCGAACTACAGACTAAAAAACGATTGGTTTGGTTCATACAGATAACGGAGTTTACGAGACACAACTTTTCTATTAATATATATTCTAGTTTATTTTTACAATATGAAGAAATAAGTGCTGTTCTTATCCAATTATGTAAATTATTGTAATCAATCTTCAATTTTATTTCAAATTTTCAACCTCGCCCTTAGAACAGCAAAAAACCAAATCGATGATTGTTTGCATGTGTATACAAACTACCCTATTGAATAATTCAACGAGTCGTCTGCACACATTGTGGGGTAACCATTTTTTGCGGAAACGGAAAAGGCGAGCGAGAGGGTGGCGAAGGAGTAAAAGAGTAGAACGCGTGTGGCTCGTTTACGTACGTTTAATCCAAGAAAGTAGGTTACGGGTGGCGACAATAAAGCTGGTTCGTGAAGACATTTTACGAGTCTCGATACCAGTCTCGCGATAAAACGAAGACGACCCAGAAAAGGGTAGGTTAACGGAAGAAAAGGAGAGTAATAACTGCGAGGAAATGGTTGCCGAAGGACGCATCGTGTAGATTTAACATTCTTATACGTCTGAATCGATACACTCAGAAACGCGTCCTTCACTTCCATTTTGTTTCGTCCTTTACGCGTCCTCGCGAATGATTTAATGGTACACAGCTTGATTGATTTGCCTCCTTTTACTACCAGACTGTAAACTTCGATGCAATATAAAGCTTTCATGGCAACAATTTAAAACATGGAATTTAGACAGAATTTTATTTTCTTTATCGGAAACACGTAAAAAATTTACCAACGAATGTTAGAAAAGTCACGTAATTAGCCTATCCCGTTAAGTATTTCGATCTGCATCTTTTAATATTCTACATATTTTTATAACATGTTTCCTTCATACATTTTCTTATACATACATATGTATATGCATAAAATGTAACAAAAAATTAAAAAAACCTATACTGTAGTTATAGGTACATTTAATGACACAATATTTAAATAAAAAATGCAAAGAAACATATTTCTAAAGATAAGGTTTACTTTTGGTAACAGCAAAACGCATTGACTTCTACGATTTAGCCAAATTGTCCCTAATAGCAAATCAGTCGCTCGATCAAACGATCGCTCATTTTTTAGGAGTCCATACTGCTTTGAGTTCCGGGAACTAGCAAGGGTCGCGTGATCCCCCTGTCGGCTTCGTTGTTATTCGTTCTGTGTCGTGAGCTCTTTTCAGATACCATCGACTGCCTGAGTGACTCTGCTCGAGTATACATGGGAGTTTCAGGCGTAACACATAGTACAGAAATAAACCGTAATCTCGTTGTAAAACAAAGAAACAACGAACTCGATCAATGAATAAAGTAGGAAAAGTATTGAGCGTACTTCTCTTGAAAAATTCGTGTTCATAAGATTCAACAGAATTAGTAAAGAGTTAGATGTGATAATAGAAAATCAAATCGATTCTAAATCAAATTGGGCTTCTGAAACCGTAGTTGACTGATTTCATACGAATGCTGTGTTCGATGACGATATTGAATGGATTTATTCTTAGATTAGCTGATTAGCCGGCGTTATCCAATCTTCTCAAAAGGTAAACAAAGTTTGAAACGGGTTTCTGCTTGATCTAAATCGAAAAACTTAATTTTTTAAGTAACAATGTACGGTATATTTCTTTTGCTAGATAAAAAGTAATCTCGCAGCAGGTAAGTATCGTATTACAGTTAAAGATGAATGTTTCTCAGCGTTCGTTCAGGTCGATTCGCGAAATCGGGCAGCGACTAGCCGCTAGCTAGTATGCTAGCAGACACATTATTTAAAAATAGACATTGCATCAGGCTAAGCCAGAGAGTTTGCTAGAGAGCGACGTTCATAGTGGCCGGACATGCAAATATTATGCCACGACGCGACACCGCGACGCACTACTACGAGTTTCTTTACGGGATTTCGTATAAATAAATGAATTATTAGCGCGTTACGTCAGGATGAAGAACCAATAGAACAGCTGTCATCGACGTATTTAGACAGATATAAACTGTTACGCGCTCCCTAGTACTTATCTCGAGTATCGAGGCAATTATTTAGCCTGATCATCGTTATTTCTTTGCATCATCAACTTTTGTGATATCGATGTTAACAGAAAATTTGTGTGGGAGTTACATATTGATATTTGTAATCTTTACGTAATTGTCGAATGTAGTGTCTATGATCTGTGTTATTAAATGCCCGCAACGATATCTATTTAATACATATTACTATTTCATGTAAAATGTTAGTGAATTAAACCTAATCAAATCTAATTCTAATTTAATATAAAATGCAAATCGACTGAGTTCAATGTACCTCGCACTTTAGACTAATTGGAAATTATTCTTAAAATGTATGACGACAAACCTGACCGATCTATGTAATCAACTATACAGAGTGTCCCAGAATATACAACTTTTGTTTAAGGGTGTGAAAAAGGCTGAGATTCTAAATCAAAAATTCCGCTTCCAGTTCTTCCTCCAATCTCTGTTAACAAAGTTATTAACGAAAAACATGGACCGATGGCGAATGCGAATAGAATTGTCACAAAGTGAAAGACGGTGCGGAGTCAGAATGTCACGTTACTGCATACCATTCATTGGGAGTGACCGAAACGCCATTCGTGCACTTTTTTCGTTAATGACTTTATTAAATCTTGATAAGGAGGAGTTACCCACCAAACCAAATGGTTTTTCTCCTTATATTAATAGATATTTGAGGCGTTGAGTACTTCGAAAAACTGAGACTTAAATCTAGAGCGCTATGGACATTGTTCAATGAGATTCGTTCATGTATGTAATGGTGGTCGCATATGTCATGTAATTAGAACAGAGGATGTTCGACGTGTGAAAAAATGCAGGTGCAAGATTGATAGCTAGTTGACCGCGCCCAAGAGACAAAGAACAAGAACAGGAACAAGGTTGGCACGTGTATAGCCAAGGGTGGGCGAGGCTACGAGAGCCGTTAGCCAGCCGTTAATTGCGTTACGCAAACGACGCTAATGAGTCGCGTTTTGGCTCAACGGCGACGCGAGACGAGGATCGGTCTCGTTCTTGGACCAGTTCGATCTGTCCGCGCGTTACTTCGCTTGCCAACCAACCGAATAACCTGGCCTTCACCTTGCAACGAATCGCGTCTATATACCTTTGTATCACAATAGTTCTACCTGAAAAAGATCACGTTCATTCATGGTGTTATAGAAGAAACTGATCTAACACTTGTTAATTCAGTGCAGCACAGGCATTGATATTTGTTAATACAGCTTGATACATTAACCATGTATATCAGCTTTGGGAAAATAGAAGCTTTGTAATGATAAAACATCATTACAGAATAAAAGTTGACATAAAAGAAAAACTGTCTGATTATTTTTTACAAATTGATGAAAGTAAAAAAAATGGTGATAATCAGAAATACATATCACAATAAAATTTCCTCTCTGGTAATAATTATACAGGTCATTTTTAAGAAATGCTCTCATTTTAGAATTTCATTAGGAGACACGGTTTAATCACAGAAAAGAATAAAATTACAATGTTCTGGTTTATTAATAGAATATAAATGTCAACGATACTTAATCGAGAATAAAATAAGCGAGAAGGAAGGGGAGAAGGTAAAGCGATCGTAGAATCGCGGTTTTCTGCACCGATAAAAGTAACAGGAACCAGACTGTTGCGGTCTCGAGGTCGTGGACACTATTTCTCGAGCTGAGGGAGAAGATTGTCTTACGGTCGAGAAAGGGTGAAAAAATTGTTACGCACACGCGCGAGCAAATCCAATATCGTTGGAGCGGAACCAGACGAGAAGTCCATGTCATAGATACCTATGTATATAAGGAAGAAATTAAACTTTAAAAGCTGCCTTTCAACTTGTTTACGATTTTAGTACAGACAGACTTCTTTCGTTACAAACGAAACAAGATTTTATTTCTTTAAAAAACAAATTAAGTTGGATAGAGAAGATATAATGAATTGCATTGAAAAACAGATGAAATAAAGATCACTCGCTATTTTTTTCATATAAATAACAGATGATGAAAAGAATTGATGGGCGTCTGGTGCTATTCTACCATCCGTGCTCTTTGGAACGATGATATCGATCAGAGTGGCGGGCGTAAAAGACGAAAAGCAGCTTGAAAAGGAGGAAAGCGAGCAAGCAGCCACAGGTAACCCTAGACAGATGGAAACTGAGGGAAATGGCAGAGCGAAGGGAGAGGCACGCCGATGGTAACTCAACTCTAGCCTGGCGTGCATCTAAGCTTTCCAACGGAAAGATCGTCTTACCGGACCTACGAGGATTACGCAAACCGCGGTTAACCGGGTCTAACGACACTAACGATAGAGCTCTTAAGAATTCGAGGGTGCGTCTTCAGAAACTTCGGAAGCTCTTCGTTTTCACGTATCATCGAAGCTTCCACTTTTATTTTGTCTCGACCTCTCAATCTTTACTGTTATCTCAGATTGCAATAAAATACTTCATTTAAAAAATTTGAAATCTCTCATTTATAATAATATTCTCTAATCAATTCGAAATGAAATAAGAAATAAATTGATTTAGAAATGATTAAAAGAGCCGTCTACGTCTTGTCAAAACGGATATCAGTATAATTTTCAGATATTGAAATTCATTTAAAATATTGGATCGCTTGTAAATAAAGACGTATACGAAGAAATAAAAATTTCAGGACCAACTATACGAAAGAATGCGAGCCGCTCTCGTGACTCGGTAACTAAATATAGCCATCGAAATTTCGACGCCATTCCCACCTCTGTTCTTTTTACGTGATTGAAGCAACACGTAGAACAGGAATTTCGAAGCTCTCGAAAGTCAATTAAAGTGTCGGCGTAACGCGAGACTTTCCTGTCTAACTAACTAATGGCATACTCTCCTTGACCGAATAAGGTGCAAACACAATCGCCATTTTCTTATTAACATCATCTGTAAACCATTTGCTTAAATCTTTGGTGAATCAAATATTTTATATTATCTATTAAAACCTTTTTCATCATTAATGATCGAAATTTTTCGAATCATCTATGAACCGATCTTATTAATAAAAGTCAGAATTTTGAAAAAATATATGAATGTTATGAGTTTCGTATTCCAATAAACAAATTGTTTGTCATTGCCAAGAGACGCTTTCTTGAAATTATTACGAATTTCGAATTGTGCAATTCAACATTGTCGCGGAAGCATCTTTCTCTCAGAAGGAAGAGATTGTCTAATAAATTACAGTATATAGTGAATAAATTGGCAAATGAGAGACACTAACAGACACCTGTCGCTGTCATCAAAATCATAACTATATAGTTAGTTTCAGACACAAATATCTTCCTACCTTTACTTTACTTTTTTTTTCATTCTTACTGATTTCATAATTATCAGATACATTATGTATAGTAGATTAATTAGTGAAGTCCAATATTAAAAATATTATTCAATTTCGAAATTTGTATAAATATTTCTAACTACTGAGTAATTAATTTATTAACTTTCCTTCTATAGTCAATTTATGCGATAAGATACCAACACACTGGAAAAATATATGTATAATTACACAGAAAAAGTATTGCCGATATCTACGAAGCGAAAAGCGAATGTATTCAACACAGGATGAAACATTTTTTTAGACAAAGTGATACGTTTCTCTATTCTTCCAGAGAGTCGACCCATTTACCAGAAACAGGCAACACATATCAAGCAGACAACAGCGCGTGTGGCAATGAGTTTCATTCTCGTTTAAATAAAACCGGTCCCTGCTCCTATTTGTTCAACTCGGTGGTTCATCGAGCGAGCATGATGTCACCTGCTTGCTTAAGAGCAAGTATGTACACAAGCGCTTGCTTATAATCAGTAAGTGAGCTGCTGTTCATCCTTCGGAACGCGTCCTTGGCGGCATGCAACCCTTTAAGGACCGCGAAACGTACGCGACTGCTTACTCGAGAGAGCAAAAGCGACCTGAATTCAATGCTGGGACCTTGACCACGATATGACCGCCAACTGGCCAACCTGTTTTGTTCCAAGCTGACAAGACTCTCATCTCTTCGACATTCGTATGGGATTGGTTAAACCATTTCCCTCTACAACTCCTTTTGTGGGATTTAGATTAACGTATTGCACGTTTGTCATGAGATTGGCATAACTCAAAAATCAGTATTTGGATTGAAACGAGTTACGAGAACCAAGAAGATCTAATTAGAACAATTATCATTTATCATATATTAGCTATATATAGAATGCTCTTTATATACATATATATATTCTACTCAAAACAATTGTGGCATCATGTTTATGTCGAAAATTGTTCATTTTTGATTCATGTAATTCAATAAAAACGAATTAATGTAACTTAAAATAAATACAAAAAATTAGATCATGTAAACCTATGAATATTTAATTAACATTTTCATGATACAAATTACACATAGTCACATGTGGAATTCCACGGTGCTCGTTTAATCAGCTTTTTTGCTAACAAAAACTGCAGATCTAAGGAAGAAACCGGTGCAGCATAAAAAGGGTGAAGCTAGACGCAAAAATCGAATACTACCGTTATGCAAAGAAGGCGAGGTCGTTGCACTGTGTGTATGTAGTCTTTACGAGCATAATGGAAAGAAGATCAAAAGTAATGGAGGTTTGTTTGCAGTCTACGGTATGCTATGCACCCACGAACAGGGACCGCTTTATTCCAATTTCGCATGAAGCAACTCACTTGCCTCTGATAAACCATGGCACCTTCTGTTTTTTCCTCAGAGAGTGTTCCAGACTTCAATTACTGAGGCGCCATTACATTTTTATTCTTATAAACATTGAGACTATTTTGCATTTCAAGTTTGTGCAATCTAGTTTATTGTTCTACGTGTGAATCGATATATCAGTATATACAGTTATATGATGTTTGTCTATCATATACAAAGAAAATTGTTTCCAGCTATTACATATTGAACTGAGCATTAAAAAATTTATATGTCAGACGAATTAATTATTATACTCTTTTCTTAATCATATTTTAACATCTAGAATTTAGAAAATGAATATCATTTTCTTTTCAAAAACATTAATACTGTCACAATGGTCGAGCACTACTCCGTCTCGGTGTGACGAGCACCGTGAACTTATTTTTGGCCCAGGTTATTTCCGTTCGGGTCGACGGGAACGTCGGCCAGAGAGAAGAAACTTGAACGAGGAGTCGCGGAGAAAATCCGGACTACAACTTCCTGCGCAAATTCTTCGTCTCGAATTGTAGTCATATAAAAAATGCCTCAAACTAGTATGTTAGATTGGTTAATGAAAGAAAAAAATGAAAGGAGCACAAGGTTTATCTAAATAAGAACGTTCAACATATTGCAAAGAGAAGAATATCTAATTAAATCAACGATTTATGAATATCATTAATTTTATTATGAGCCGCTCAAATGCGCTTTGATTAATTCTATAAATATGATAAGCTCGAGTTAATCATAACTATATCTCTGTCTAGTTTACTAAATACAACATATCTATTATATAATATAACTATTAATATATCTATTAATAAAGTTTCAAAAATAAAACACTTCCAAACTTATTAAAACCTAAACCAGTTTTATGTACTCCAAAAAATGATCAGGTTCTTATTTAAAGAAAGTACAGTATATTAAATTGCAGGTTCAAAGACCTGAGAAAATTGCACGAAATAAATAGTAACTCATAAATATCTCGCAAAAATTTGCTTCTTCCGGTCAAGAAGAAGAATGACTTGGCCTATAGCAGAGTTGCCTAAGCCGAATGGAATCTATCTGCCCCCATTTATTTGTTAACGTCTATTTCGAACGCGGCAGAAATCGGAGAGGAATAGTACGCAAGAACAGGAAAAGCCACGGCACGATGCGGCGCGGTGAAGAATTTTACGCCGGTTTACCGGTACTCACGTCTCTTTTATGAACGATGTGGAACATTCTAATTGCTCTTATTACATCACTTCCTGGCAGGAAGTCGGCTCCACCGGTTGAACCCGTGGTAACACGTATAAGAGCAATTCCTGCTGCTTAAAACCGGCACGCGTCTTTCTAATTAAGTCCATCGCATTCAAAGTGATCTCACAACCGAACTGATTCAGTTTCCATTCGATCATTAAGTCCTTTCACATGGGATTATATTTAAGCTAATGCTCGTTTTGGATAGAACGCCACCGAGACAGGGGTTCATTATGAGCATATGCATATACGATTGCGCAAAATAGTGAACCAGATTCGATGGCTGCCAAGTTGCGAAATAAGCAGCTCTAGAGTACGAAATATGCACGTACGAGACGATGAGTCACTCATAATTTGTAATTTTGCGTTTGCCGCTTTTGTAACTTGTAATACACGAAAGCACTACCATTTCTTTTCCGAAGCGATCATTCTTGTTTCAAAAATAGCACGATTCAATGATATTAATTTTTCAAACAAAATTTAAATCTACCCTTCTCTGTTTTAATATATTTTTCAAGTTTTTAAAAGATAACAAACTAATTTTGTGAATTACTGTCGTGGCTTGAAGAGTAATTGCTTTCTTTGCGGTAAAGTGAATAAGGTCTGACAAGCCACTCTTCAGAAGAAGAGAGAGGGTAGCAAGTACTCACCAGCAGCTTGTTATCCACGGTCTTGACAACGATCTCCTCCGGCGTGTACTGGGAGACGTCGAATCGAAGCTTGAGCATTTTGCCATCGCCTTCGTCCTGGATGAGGGGGCTGTTTAGGCCATCGAGCCACGCCGAATCCTGTTGAGGGCTCAGAGAACTGCTGTTCTGCTGAGTACTCTGCGTCGTCGTGCTGAAAATGCCACAACGGATCTTCGATTATACTCTTGAACCCTTCCCCTTCTGCTTTTATGTATTACGGGACGAGCGTGAACGTTCTAAAACGAACATAAAAAAAAAAAACGAATGGCGTAGTTATCATCGCTAGAGGTTCGTCTTTAGACTCTGTTCAATAGACGGCTAGAGTTTGAAAAACGATAGATTCATAGGTTTTAGAAACGAAATGCCTTTCTCAATAATATGCTTTTGGCTATTTTTACAAATAGTTTTGTTAACTTCGAAGAAACTTAAGCCATAATCTGAAAGAATCTAGAAACAAAATCCTTATTGTACACGCCTTAACCTCGTAAGCGACGATAACGGTTCGCAACGAAAATTGTCGAAGACAAATAAAAATGCGTGGACGACGATGCGACGGCGATCGGTAACGATACAAATGATAAAAGAGAAGAAGACTCGTTCGCCTTAGCGTGACCTAGGTGCACAGTTCGAGAGTAACAAACAGCCTTACCTACGATGATGATGATGATGCAACGAACAGGAATAGTAATTTAACAGAAATATTGACACTGGATCACGATGGAACAACTAGAATCGTGCGCAACTACTTAAAGGACTAATTAATTAATTAACGGTTAAGTCGCAGCAGTGAACGCGATTGTATGTACAATATTATAACGCTTGCAAACTCACGAACACAAAACCGCACCAAAAGCTTTCGTTATTGTAATGTGTGTACTACCGGAGGCACGGGTTAATCGTTCGCCAAAGGAGTTAATTGCTTGTCAATCGATCTACAGGGGGAAATCGTGCCCGTTTACCTTTTATGGTGGTGTCCATGCTGATGGACTGTGGTTAGTAAAGAGAAAGGGATAATAACTGGGAGAGAGTAACGGGATAAATATGCAAGCGACTGTTTTCAGTTATGTGCTTCAATTAATGTAGTAATCACTTTTTTATGTATCAATATGATCAAGTGTTTGTACACATGATGCACTAAAATGTACAGATGAATTAAGGTGGTTCTATACTTTTTCAAAATTTA